CCATCTAGAAATAATTTAACCTTCTATTACCCATCACACTTATTCTACATCCTTTATGTGGGATACAAAAGTACCCATTAATGATATGATTATTAGTAAAACTCTCCTCCTGATAGCATTGCCTGAGTATCTATAACAACCAGACCCCAAAATGAAATTATGTAGTGGTTTCTCAGCCCAGTAAAATCTCTTTCATTTTTTTCCCAGTGAGATTGAGACAGATACTGTTGTGCCCATGCCATTGTTTCTACCTTTACACTTTTATGCTCAGTTCCTTTGTTGATGCACCCCACTGCCTTTAGCTTCATCTCTGTCTTTCTGCACACTGCTTTTTCGTGATACATCTGCTCTAAATGTGGCTGCTATTTTACCACACGCTGTTATTCCTTCTAGTGTCTGATTTCACATTCTGTTCCAATAGTTTGACCTTGCCCGGTCTGTTTGCCAGGCCTCCTGCGTAATAGCATGATGGGGAAAGAGTTTTTACCAGCCATGCTCAGCAATCCATTGGGGAGAAAAACAGACCCTTAGCTCTGTCAGCTGCTTGGCTGTTGTTTCTATCAGTGTGAGTTTCCTTCCTCATGCTCCATCGGCTGTTGCCAAGATTTTCGTTACCTCATTTGTTACTCCTGAGAGCCAAAATCACTCCCAGTTTTCCCCCTAATTTCTTGCTGTTCTAAACTCATTTCTATGAGGCATGCCAACCCTGTTTTGTAGGAATTCAGGATAAAAATATCTATGATTCAGATTTTTCGTCATGACTGGAAATATTCTTAGTGTCATTCACCTATGCTAACTTCAAGTGTTTCAAATGTAGTGTTTGGAGTTTGAACCAGTCCCACAGACATCCCTTATCTCTGATGCAGAGTGGGCACAGCTGGATGTGGATGGCATGGAGGTCTTTTATCCTTCATCTCTACTCTGATGTCCTCTTTATCAAGAGAGTTTCTACAGTCAAACCTCACAAATCTCTGTACAGGATATCTGTCCTTCCCTTGCTGTGAGAGGAGTGAACAGACTTGTTTCTTCAGATTGTTGACCTGATTCAACCTTTTTGACATTTACGGTTATATTCTCATTCCCTTTTCTTACGTAAACCTGTCATTAAATTGCTAAAGGGCTAAATAAAGCTTTATTTATAGCTCTTGCTTCATCATTAAATTGGGAGATGTTCATGCCTCTTAGAGTCTGTCACTCTATACACAATACTTCCACAATAACAGTATGTTAGATGGTAACGAGGTGCAACCCAGAGTTGTGAAGGGGAAAAACCTTGCAGATACATGCCTAAGCTCTGTGGCAGTACACAAACTGCATCCCAGACTCATTATTACATGCATCCAAAATTTTGCCATACACGTAGTTATCCTGAGTTTTCCCAAGCTCCTAGACTTGAATCTCAGCTTATAACATGTATTACTTGATGGGACACAAGCTTTTTCCTGCAGACCAGGAGCAGCCTGGCGCCCTGCTGCAAATCAGTCCTATGGGTCCCTTCCCCAGTCGTTGTATTAGAAGCATAATCTAAACATTTTATGCTCTTTCAGTGACTCAGAAACACTCCCTGAGTTTGACAGCCTCTGCAGAGATTTTCTGTTCATGCCACAGTCCCTGCAAAGAGAAGCAGCACCTAAGGGACTTGAGTGCAGCAAGGCCTATTTTAAGAGAAATGCACTCCTGATTACTGCCATGGCTGTGTGCCATGGCTGAAGTGTTGGATTTTTCCTGTGGACCTGGTCCTCAGAAATGGAACAGAACAAATTTGTGCACAATTAGAGCACAAATTTACCTGGAATTCATTCACATTTACTTCTGAGTAGCAGTATCTAATCAGACATTTCTCCTGGGACATGTCTGCACCAGTACTTCCAATTAGGAAGTCATTACAAAGCAAGCACACTTCTGAAAAACTCAGGTCTGTAGTAAACAGAGTTGGTGTTGCTTGCTGGCATTGCACGTAAAACCCTTCTGAAAAAAGCTGATTGCTTTGTGCTCTGAGTATGTGCTCTGAAGAGGTTCAGTAATGAAGGTGCCTAAGCCTATCACTTTACTAATATTCGTATTTTCTGTTAACAACACTGCTTACAGTTGGTGCAATGCAGCCCTGTTTTTCACAATATTACTTTACTGCAATTTGGTTTCAGTGAGGCTTAAGCAGATACTTAAATGTGAACCGTTCCGAAAGTGTGGGGCCTCACTGAACAAAATGATTATGCAAGAACATTTTAGAACATTCAGATCAACCTGAAACAAAGAAAAGTGAAGGTGTGTCTTTGCTGGAGAAATGCCAGACTTTCTTGTAAGAAAGGATTTTAATTACAATCCCACGCTCAATGTTTAGAGAGGTTACAGGTATCAATTTTGCATGTGGTTATTTTCTGTGGAATTCAGCAGTTCTCTAAATTCACACTCCTGGAAATCACAGGAGCCCTGATTTTCTTCAAGCTGAGCTAGACAGGCAACATCAAAGTAAAGAAAGCAGAGCCCGTATGGGTCAATGCTTTGTGTCAAAAACATGTTTTTGACAATTTTTTACTCCACTAACCTAGAAACCAGTCTAGACATTTTATTATAGATTAATGGTGGTCATATGAAGAATATGAACTCAGTGTTCAAGTCAAGCATTCTGTGAAAGGGTTGGGTAGTTTCCAATACAGTTTTCAAACCATCTGAGATAAAAAGACATCTGATTAGATCATTCTGTCCTCACAGCATCAGCCTGAAACTCAGATATAAATGTGATATAGTCTTGGTCTCTTTTCCTATAGTCTGCTAATTTCAAGCTCTTGCAGGAAATTCTCTATTTGGGTTTGGACTCTACTAGCATTTGCCTTCCTGAATATTTGATCATGATACTACATTAAAAAAATATTCTAATTTATTCTTGTCTTTCCCCAGAGTGCTGATAGCTCAGTGCAGCATGCAGAAATTCATGTGCCAGTAAATTTTATATATAAGAAGCATTTGTCCATTTACCTTTCTGCATTCCATAAGGCGATGGATTTCCTTGTTATGTGTGGAGCTGTCACCCTGGATCAGAGCTATGGTGATTCATTGGCTTAATGCCACTGGAGCCAGAAGTAACATTCACATGAGATTTTCAATTAAAACTCAGAAGATATGTAAGATATACACTTTTATCGGGGAGGGTGATTCATCATTGGGAAGGAACTAGCCTTGGAAGCAGCTAATTTTTCATTTGTGTTTGCAAATTAGAATTGGAAGTCTTTCTGTAAAATATGCTGTAGCCAAACCCAAGTTATTGTGTTCAGTACAAGGACAGGTGAGTGAAATCAGATGACATATGCTTGAAGAATGGGCTATATGAAGGGACAGTTTTCTCAGTTCATTTGTCCCACATGCAGAAGAACAAAGTCCCTAGGAGCAGGAGAACTAGCTTTCATGTCAGAACTAAGGCCTCTGACTTCTCCTCCAGTCATCTGAAGTTGAGAAGGTTTTGTGCTGCTGCCTTGGTGCTTGCTTTTGATAGATACCATTGGCACAGCACTGATTCAGTGCTGAGAGTGTGCATTTCTACTGAGGGGCCAGGTTGAGAAAATATAAGTCCTTCTGGAAAATCAGCATGTGTTTTGCATGGGAGAAAAAGGATGTGACAGAATGTATACATAAGGAATAGGACAAGAATATCAAATTCATAATTTTTAGTTTCTAGGAACTGTATTAGGAAAACTCTAGGAAGTACAATCAGCTGGAGTTTGGTTTTTCTGGTATTTGAAATAGTCAGTAAATTTAGAATACATTGTGTCATACCCTGGTATATGATTGTGCATTGGAGCCACAAGTAGCACCTTTTTGTTTCTGAATTTTTTATTCATGCAGGACAAAGCCCAGTAGGTGTTCTTGTTTACAACCTCCTTTCTAAGACCATTGTGATCTCCTGCTGTTTTCCACACTGGAAAGGGTCATATTTCATCTGCAGCAGTAAAATAAATACATATGTAAATCAGGGCCTCCCTTAACTACTGAAGCACAACATCTGCAAGTGAAATTTGTTCATTTTTTCTGGGATGGTATAGACACTTTTGTTTGGGTATAGTATTTCTTTCATGTTTCTTGGTCTTGCCTTTAATTTATCCTTCAAGATTTATACTCCTGGGCAGCAACCAGGAGACACCAAACTGCAAAGAGAAATCCCACAGTCCTCCATGTGCTTTAGAGTTCAGGTTTCTAATAATTGGCAGACTAATGGGAACTGAAGAAAAGATCAGGTGTTTGTAGCAGCTTGAACACATATAGTTACAAAAGTAATAGCTCTTGTCTCAATTATTTATAGGCTTTGGCCAAAGTAGTAACAGCTAGGTGCCAAAAGTTTGAAAAATCAGCCTATAAAAGTACTCTACCAATAGTGTTGTGTTTCTCAAAGTTACTGAGTATTGTCCCACCCGGATGCAGAGTGGCTGCAGGGCTATAAAGCATGTGAAAGACAGCTTTGGCTGCAAGTGGTGTGCTGTGTCATCTAACTTCACCACCCCAGGTCATAGGAGCAAAATCCAGCAAAGCGTGTTCAGCGGTCCTGTGCTGCACATGAGGGGCCTGACAGCATTTCATGTCACATTGCTTCATGTCTCTGCTCCAGACAATGCCAGAGTTCTCTTCAAGGCAATGGCAAGGTGTTGTTGCTGAGGATAATTTATGCCAAACTACCTTTTCCACAAGCAGAGATATAACCCTCCCCAAGTATTAGAGCTTTACCTCTCCAGAACTTCCTCTGTGCCACTCTCCGTGACCAGCTACACAAACTTTTAGCTTCATGCTGTAGCAAGCTTGGCTGAATTTTCAAATTTCCAGATTCTTTGCACTGTGAAAACATTCTCAAAGAGGAATAATTTTGTCTGAGTGTCACGGAGGTGGGACATGAAGACTGAGTGGTAAGTCGTTGTGGTCATTCTGATTCACAGAGGGTTACATGGAGCAAGGATTCTTCTCTGGTCCATCATAATGAGTTTTACAGACACAGATTAAGGTGTGTGAGGAAAAGAGTCAATATAGCAGCATGTTCAGTACATGTTACCTCATTGCAGAATGCCTGGAAAATGGCATTCTGTCAGAAAACTTGCTTGAAACTATACATTTGTCTGGAGCTCAGACATGTGACCTAAAGTTTCAAGGAGGCCCTTCAGCCAAAGTGGTAGCTACAGGTCTGATTGATCTGAAGGTATCCTTCTTTAGAAGATGATATGATGTTTAGAGTCTTCCCTCAGGATGATGAGACAAGTTCTTGCTGCTTTTTTTGACTACCATGGTGAGATATCAAGCTACTAGGCTACAGCTGAAGTCCCAGCAGGTTAATTTCTGCCTTCACCCTGTAGGGTTCAGAGAGAGCCCTGGAAGGGAAAGAATATCCCTTACCTCTCCTCCTGAATATGTACCACTGGTTCAGTTCCTGGGCTGTGTAGACCTGGGCTCACTTAAACATGAATTAAAGCTCTAGGTGCTATGAACTTTATCAAATATAAGGCACAGCTGGAAGTCAGCTGGCAGAGGACCTTCAATCTGGCAGTAGGTGAAGGTTCCACTCCATCTAAGTACTTTAAAGGTGGAGGTTTTCTTGTGTCCTGGCTCTAATTAGCCACTTCTCTGCAGTGATTTTCTGTAGAGAGAAAAGTATTTGACCTCCTGTTGGGCTCTTGTTCTGAGTGCTAAAAAATTGGTGCCTAATAGCTGGTAATTTTGAGTGAGGGTGAAGTCTATCTAGCACTACGGGTATTAAAATGTGAAAAATCAGACAGAAATCTAGTCAGGGTGACAGAATGGCACATTCAGTAAGGACTCTGAACATTTCTACGGTCAAGAAAAGGAAGACTACCTCAAAAAGCCTTGTTTCTACTCCCTCTCTCTCAGTGTTCTCCATGAACACTGAACTGGAGCAGGCAGCACTTCTCTCTGGTGCATTTTCTTACACTAACAATGGTCTATGTATGTATGAATTTTGAAGACGGTGGCTCTTATTGAATTACTGAGCCAGTCTATCAAACAATATCCTGACTTCATTGGAATTTCACATCCTGAGTTTGTTGGTTGTGTTATCTTTTGTTATATTTTTCATAAGGCTGTCATGGCAACAGAGGGAGAATGTGATTTTCCTTCAAAACCTCCCTGTTTGTTACCCACATGAACGGATGGTGTGCCTCTGGTTACTGACTGTAACCACCCTTATGAAACACCGTCCACAAGGGCATGTCTAAACAGGTATTTGCTCAGCTTCATCTGTTTTCCCCTTCTGTGGACAAGCATGAAAAGGTAGTCTGTCTTCAACCGTTCAATAAACAAACTCCAAAATAGTAGGATTTTCTCTGTGTGCTCTGCAGCATGGACATTCAGCACCTCGCCTCCAGCAGAATCTCCTCCTTGTCCCACTCGCTGCTGCTTCTGTCCCAGGCTACGAGACCTGCGAGCAGTAAGGGAAACACAGTTTAAAAATGAAAGGATAAATTGCTGCAGACTTGGGTCTGGAGTATATCAAATTAAAAAAGAGAGATAAACCACTCCTGCTGCCAAGCATTGCAATATATTTGCCTGTGATATTTTGTTTTTGCTCATGTGTTACTTGTGGCAATTTGGCAGCTTATTCTTAGAGTCTTCACAGTCAGCTGCTTTATCCCTGATATTTATGTTTTATTTTCCATTGTCTAATTTCTTCTCCTAACTGCTAACTTTTACCTCCTGTGTGGCTGAATCAATGCCTTTCCCTCTTTGATAGCTAAACCTAAGATACTTGTATTGCTGTTAGCTGCACAAAACTACCACGCTTCAAAAGTTGTTCACTGTTTCTCTGTGAGTTATTAAAAACTGATCACAACCTTAATTTCCTTCATTTCCAGGCAGCCTTTTTATAGGACATGAACTTTAAAACCCAGTTCTTAATGACATGCTATAACCACGAGACAAGGATCTGGCTATTGTTGCATTCAATTTATTTTAAGATTTTGCATTGCTAGTCAGGAAACATAGGTGCAGACCATGAACTAGGAATTCCATTTTGCATGCTGATGCTCCCGTGAGATTGCTTTTCTTTGTTGTATGCTTTGTGGTATTTGAAAGACATTTTGAAAATTCATGCACAGAAAAATTTTCCATTATCTTGGGGTAATTCAGATCCATCAGAGGATGTAAAATATGTCAATAACACATGAAAATTGCACTAATTTAATTAATGTTAAATCTAACTATAATTCCCAAGGTATTGCTAGACAAACATCATTATGGTAATGTGAACTGCATTTATTAAAAATGTTATCATTGTGGATTTCTGTTAAGAAAGGATGCACTTGCAAAGACTGTGTTTGCTTTTGTTAATTTGCACATGCAAAAGCAAATGTGCAACTCTTGAAAAGCTGCATTGCCCTTTCAAATAAACTTCAGATGTTTGTATATAAGCAGCAATTTTTTATTTTGTGATAAATTGGTAAAACCAATTTATCACAAATACTGGGCTTCCAGAGTATTTATACAAGACAGATAATCAACCAAGCAGAAATTTTTTTTCTTTAATGATTATTTGCAGCAATTTCAAGAACAATCTGCATTCTTTCTGACACTTTTAAATAACTCATTTTCCTTTGTTTTCTTCAGTTTTCATAATCCTTCAGTATTATAGCTTGCTTCATATTTTGAATTGTTTTTTACCTCAATGCAATTAAATAAATATTCAGCTGTGATGCTTTTTGAATGATTTGGATTTTCTCTCACTAGTAATTTAATTTATACTGACTACAGCAATTGACACCTTCTGTCTTTAAAAATATCTTGTAAAAATATCTTGTAATAATAACAGGTTGTAACATTCCTGTTACCACCTTCTTCTGAGACCGTCTTGCAGAGTTTCTGTGTCACTTCTCTCTCAGAGTCATAACTTGCCTCTTGCTCCACATCCCAAAGTACCAAATGTACCAGCATGGAGAAAAGGTGTGACTCAGAGGTGGCAAGACTCATGCTGTATGGGACAAATGTGCTTTGGCCTGCCTCCTATTCCCACCATGCCTTGAGACCATGGAGGGACTCAGTCTGCTCCTCTCATTTGCATCGTGGCATTCACTCATGTGTGTTTATGGTGGGGTGAGATTCAGAAATCCACATCCTGCAGAGCAGGGGAGCAAGGATAGCAGCCTAATTTACTCCACTTGAACTTGGGAGTTCTGTTCCTCTGGACCACAAATGGATACCATGAATTGATGCCAAATTTTTCCACACATCCCAAATTAAATGAATGGCAACCAGCCATCTTGGAGTGTGCAAACTGGAGTGCTGACACCAGCACCACATCACAGTACAAGTTCACCCTGCAGAGTGGAGTCTCCCACTGTGCATTACAGGATAAACAAGCCTTTAAGGAAAGCTTGTACTTGGGCAGCCAGCCATGATCACCACAGGCTGGGCATTCCATAGTGGAAATGCCTAACAAAGTCCTTGGACACTTCTGGACTTTTTGTCCCATCTGCCTTTGGATCCATTATCTGCCTTCCCTGCTTTCACTGCAGTCCTTGTAGCTGATGGTAGCTGGTACTTCATGTGTCCTACTTGACACAATCATATCCAAGTGGAGCAGGGAGAGATGGAAATTATTTAAAGTTAAAACAGAGAAGAAAGGTCAATTATAGCACAGTCAGAAAAGTCATGGCACAATATTGGTTAAAGGCAGGGGACTTAAGCACTGATAAAGAAACAGCAGAGGGAAAAAACACCTACTTCTGAAAACAATGGGGAAAATAATCCCATGGGATTTTGTCTTTCCAGACAATAGGATAGCAGCAGCTCAGTTTTCTGTCTGCAGAGAAGGCCTGTTGGCAGGGGAACAGCATGACAGGTGTATTGTCATATTCCCCTCTGGGCTGAGCAACAAATGTTCATCTGAAATCTTACTGATGCAAAGCAGAGTGAGAGAGTGAAAAGGTGAGAGAGTGGCATTCCCAGTATTCTGAAAATATGTGCTGCAAATGAGCAATAGATGGAGCGTCCAGCATCAGCAGCCTTTTCAAGCAGGCTTGCTCATATTGCAGGCTTGTCAGGTGTTTGAAACGGTGGGAAATGCTCTGATGAGGAGGTTCCTAGTATCCCCATGCAGCTTAACTGCCACTAACAATTACCCCAGAGCAATGAACATCTGTTCTTTCATGGCCTTTCCCAGCACTGCATACATCCCTCATCTTACTACATACAAGAAGTTTTTTTGGGAAAGGGTGGATGAAATGCATGGATACATGAAGATACTCACTAAGCTTTGACACTCCAGCTTTCTACTGGACCAACGTGTCTGTTGGTGACTGGAATCTGTGCCCTGGTGACAGATGGGAGCTGTAAGTTGATTGTCCAGCTAATGTTTAATATCCATTATGTTTAATATCCATGATCCTTGCTGCAGTTGTTTCTGTCGTGCAACAGATAGTAACCAGATGAGAGTATGGAAGGTGAATCTGTCCAGAAAATTCCACAAGCACCCAAATTGCACATGACAGGTGGAAAGCAGAAACACTAAGGTCCTACAGGCACTGTGGCAAAGTGCTTCTCCTACACATGATGATTTGCCCTCTCCACTAATAAAAAATGAGTGGAAGAGCCTACCATTTGCAAGGTCTCATTTAGAGGCAGATAAAGGGATGATTTCAACCAATATATTGTTGATATAATTTTTTTTTTTGTTTCTCATTTGTTTTGTTTTGTTTACAATATTGCTTGATTTACTGTCTGGCTTACAGTTTATTCTTCCATTAATTCTCAGATAGAATGTCAATGGCTAGGATGCTATTTTAATGAGCTATCAGTTCTAAAACACTCCAGACTTATGCCCTAATTAAACAGCAACATGATGCAGGGTTGTGAAATTGTTCTGCAAAGGACTGCCTACAGCTATAGCTGAAAACTGTTCCACAGGAATATTAAGGAGACAGCTACTGTCTACAAGACATCTGCTGTAGTCAAAAGTAATAACAAAAATCAAGCACATTTGTGCTTTTACAGTTTAGATATTGCTTGAGTTGTGAGACAAATAACCCCTGACTGTGGCAGTGTGTGCTTGGTGGCTGCTGAGGGGGAGTGGCAGGGCTTGGTCGTGCTGCTGGCACTGGCACCAGCTCACCCGAGTGCTCGGGGGCTTGCTGTCACTACATTGCTCTGCCATGCCTGTCACCAGGCCATGTGTTTTCAGAGTTATTGCCTTTTTTTGCCTGTGAGAATGAGCACTGCTGTGCCAAACAAAACAGAATGAACAATGATGTGGAGTGTTTGCTGAAACACAAACGCTCTTGCAGAGCCTGAAGTGGTAGAGTGGGACAGGCAACAGCAGATTATTCAGGGCAGTGATTTTCATTGCATACTTGAGACTGACCTGGAGGTTTCTGCTAGCCTGTAGAATCTCACAGTCTCCAAAAATATTTTGTGGATCTGTTCTGGTTCAGAGATGTTCTGCATGTTCTGTGTTAGTCTTTGGAAATTATTTGAGAGGGGGTCAGAATCCTTTTTTGGGAGTAGAAAAGGAGGTTGTCTCAGGGGAAGAAACAGGACATAAGGACTGAAGACTTCACATCTGTGTGCTAAAATCAAATGGTGATCAGAAGGGTGGGGATTTGTACATGGGATGTACGTGCCTTGTTCACTCCAGAATCCCATCCTGACCCTGGGCCAACCCTCCCCATAGGTCCAGCTTTGGTTTTTCTCAGATCAGATTGTGGGTAAGGGAAGGGTGAGAGTATGAGAATGGCAGAACAGAAGTAGTATTCCCTAAAGTTTCACATTGGTGCATGTGAAAAACCATTATTTGATAGCTATTATACTGCCCTGTATGTGCACAGGCTCTGTGCATGTCATCTGGTGGTTTGATCCATCTTTATCTGAACATGTCATCCTGGCATCTCTCTATAGCCAGTAGAAAGAAGAAGGTACCTCCAGAGCAAAATTTTCCTTGTCCAAAGACAGACGTTGAAGATAAGAAACAGGAGTAGGAATCACTGAAATTTAAGCTAGAAGAATTGCATTCTTCATTTCTCAGTGATACAAACCGGGGAACTCCTTTTCTGCCTTTCCACACCTTGTAGAAAAGAGCTGTATCCATGTATCAAAGAGCTGGGATATTCACCAGCAAATACCTTGGACATTTGGAACATGTCTTGAGTTCCATTGATGGATGTTGGTTTTCCCAGCTTTTTCAGAGATGGAGCAACTGAGAGTCATTTTAAAAGCTTTTATCAGTCTCGATGAAGGGTGAGATATAAGAGATGTAAGACTCTTCACCATTCTATCAGAAGCTGACATATTTCCTGGTTACAATACCTTATAAATGTTTTTCAGCCTATTAGCTTTTGCCACACAATCCTGATAATACTTCTAAGATCAACCACCTATATTTTTACCTCATATGGTCCTGCTACAATGCATCTTTCACAGTTCCAATTCTCTAAAATATCTGGTCTTTATGCAAGGCCAAATTTTGAAACTTGTTGAAACTTGTTTCTAGTTCAATCTCTCTCTCAACGTCATCTCTATTCCATGACCTTCCTAAGTCAGCACACCTTATCTCAGAGTTTGCGTACAGATCTACCACACTGTGTGAGCTTTCAGTCAGGTTTGAGAATTCCTTATAAATCCATTTCTCATAGACAGACATTATTTTGAGGTGGTCATTCAGGTTGCCAGGCTGTGAGTCCCCAGGCCGTTTGGAGTGACAAAGGGCACCAGACATGGGGAGCAGTTCACCCTTGTCAGACGTGCATGCTTTTCAGGTAAGGCTTTGTAACTGCCCAAGCTGCTCCTGCAGAGACTGTAGTTATTGCAGCAGCTCTAGGCCAGCTTGTTAAACCTATAGACTCATTGTCTTTGGCAGTTCTGGGCTTGAATGGATTGAAAAAGAAGTGAAGTTTTCAGATTAATTTAATTTACATGAGAAAAAAAGGTAAAAAAAAAGTGTTTTCACTGTCCATATAGTTCTGTACCACCAAAACTGAATTCTGCAAAGAAGATGATATCTCTCTTGCAAAGAAAGAAAGTAAAATACCTTCTCAAAAACCTCATGCCTTCTCAAAGGATTATATTTTTATCATTTGTCTTTTACAAAGGACTTCAAAAGCAGTATGAGTATATGTGAAGAACTGAAAAGTCAAGGCAAAATTAAGAAGGCATAAGCTCTCCCACTTCTGAATGTATTGGTGTCTGTGTCATGGTCAGGTGCACTGGGCACTACAGCAGCAGCAGGACCTGGGCTCCCACAGGGTTTCACTTTGAAGCCCTGGACCAATTTGAACATCAAGCCTAAGCTCTCTGATCCCAGTTTGTAAGTCCACATGCAAAGGGTTCAGTTCATGGTAGCCAGGACACAAACTGGCAGCCCAGAGGCTTTCCCAGGCCATCACTTTGGTATTGTGCATGACATAATTCTTAAAATGGCAGCTGGGCCATGTGACCTGTGGTTCTGGTTCCAGAAAGATTAGAGATGTGTTTGTGTGTGCTTCCCCTCTATAAGTTGTGTTATTCTCTAAACTTCAAATTGCATGTCAACTGCCATATAATGTGCATAATATGCAGGGACTTTCTCTATTCTATTCTATTTTTTTTTTTTTTTTTGCTTGGTGGTTCTCAGCAGTGAGAAAGCTCCCTTTGCTGTCTATTCTGATCAGGGGGACTGTGTGGTGAGGTTACCTGGGAAAAGGCAAAACGAGTGACAGACCTTCATCTCCTGCTTGACATTGCCTGCTATGGTGTGTCCCACCTGCAAGGTCAGTCATCATAGCCCCACCAGATCCTGCACAGTTAAGCCAGAAGTACCTCAGCTGTATTCTGGTCTCAGATTAAAAAAACCTGAGTCCTTACAGCCAGATCTTGTTTTTTGCAGGCAGAGGCACAGAAATGAAGGGAGAAGGGAGAGTTCTCTGCAGCCTGCCTCCTGTGCAGTATCTCTTTACAGAATAGGAATAAATAGAACAGGGCCCAGATGGGCTACTTATGATTGACAGGTGTCAGGATGTGTCTACAGCTCTGTCAGTCAAGCTGCTCCATGTCAATTGAACAACTAAATGGTACAGGGTTCCACTTGTTTTCCCAATCTAAAATGATTATTAAAATCAAGCCAGAAGATACAGATTTCAGTATTTAGCATTTTTAGCCATTTTTAGCCAGGTAAATATGTGTCACAGAAATTCAGCCAGACTCTTAGTAAATTCTCTTGTGTAAAGTTTGGGTTCTTCTGTGGACAACAATATATGTGTGAAGCATGTTCATAAACTGCACAGGTATCATTCAGCATTTTTATTGCCTCTGCAGGTGGTTGTGGAAAAAGAACTGCATTTTTGGGTTGCATGCCTTTCCGAAATTTGCATGAACAAATAACCACTACAGCTCTCACTGTGTATAATTGTAATGTATATTTGTAATGTATATTTTTGATGATTGCCATGTTGAGACCAACAACCATCATTTAACTTAGACATAAAATGATGCCATTTTTGCAAGTGCTACTCAATGCTTGTTTGAAACTTCATTTGTATCTAACTGTATTAACAAAAACCCATGTTTTATTAGCTATGGGTGGGTTTTTGGATTTTTTTGGTCCTTTGTTGTATTTGTTTGTTGGTTTGCTTTTAATCATAATTCATTATTACTCTGTGTTAGAAAACATAGTTTTCCAAGTAGGTAACAGAAAAAATATTGCTGTAAGTATGTGATATATGACATTAGAAAGAGTGATCAGTGAGTTGAGCTAAATATTGGTAACGTCTGCAAAGACACTATCTAACTTTGATAAACTCGATAGGACACACTCACAAGCAATGATCCATGAGTAGCCAATGGTTTTCCCTGTGTGTCACATTCAAGAGGACCAGGTCTTTTTTGTCCCCCCCAGATGTCTGTCTTGTATTTTTGCACATGGCTTCTTTGTTAATTCCTTCCATGAAGCAGAAAACCCCCCACCCATACCTAGTTGCTAGGTTGAGTCAAAGCTCTTTTCTAGAAAGGAGACATAGAATTTACCTCTGTAGCCTCAGAAGGTCCCTTGCTGCCCATATTCTCTGTTTATGTGAGGTTATGTATGTTTTTGGTAGATGTTGCTTGTGCTCAGCAAAGTAAATAAAATGTTGTATTAAGAACTTGTTTCTTCATTCCACTCTCAGGGCAAAAAACAAAATAAACATTATTTTTCTTGTATACAGCTGGTTCGCAGGAACTCCCTTGTGGAAGCACACATGTATACTTAAGGCTAGAGAATAAATGCTCTGACTCAGAGTCCTAAGGAGTAAGCAGCTCTTGTTCCCACAGCAGGCAGCTGCTGCCTTTCAGCTCAGCCAGGCTGTGTTGTCTCCATCAGCTCCCTGCCAGACACACGTACAAATCATTTTCTGTCTCATGTCTTGGGCTTTGCTTTAGTCCAATGATTTGATTTTGCTGGTTATGTGTTTATTCCATGAGTAGGAGAAAAGACTCGTTCCCTCACGGGGTGACACAGCTTGCACAATTACCTGTGTATCTCATCTTGCCTTGGAGTCTTCTCCTTTCAGTACTGTGCAGATGATATTTCTTCTCACAGAAGCATTCTGTGAACGGAGAGGTGACTGGAACATGAGAGCACAAGTCAGGATTTATAATATCTTTGGCTAAATTTGGGTGGCATTTTGCTCTAGTATTTCTTGACCACTTTCTGATTCTGGTGTTTCTTGACATGCTGTCGTTCTGACAAGCATTTTAGTTTTATGGTGATGATCTCTTGTCCATTACAGGAGCAGACAAGCCCAATAGTCAGATTTCATAAGCAAAATGGAGTCAGTTATTGAAAAGACATGTATAAAGCTTAAAAGCTGTTTTTAACTGCAGTGCAGTTCAAGAAAAATGTCACCCAAAAGCCTTCCTCCTCAAAAAGCCACATCATAAAATAATAACGAGTAAAACCTTTGTTCTTTGTAACTACCACTGCACTCAGCTTTGAGTTGACAGGGTCTAATAATAAAGACAGGTTAATGTCATCTAGCATTTGTGAAAGCCTTTTGTTATTATAAAAGAGTAATTAGGTCATCTCACCTTCAATATTGAATTTCAGAAATTCATACAAGTTTTCCTAAAGATTGGATAAGGAGCATGCTAGATTTGTTTGAACCATAAGAAAAATAAATTTAAACCAAGGTCTCATCTCTCTTTCAGTGAGATAAGTGATATACTTCCAAAAACTCACTTGGCTATCCAGCCTCTGGATGTTCTGCTTCATGAGGATGTACAATTTCACCTTATCTCTTACATTAAAGAAGAGTGATATTCGGGAGCTGTCCAACTATTTTATTTCATGGAAAGTGATTTTTTTAAACATAGACATTTTGTACCAAAATGTAGTTGTTGCTGATTAAGTTTACATTTTATGACTGAATTAAAAAAAAGAAAAAAAAGGGGTTTTTTTTGGAAGACCATCCCAAATCCATACACATGATGAATTGAATATTTCTGTGTGTTTGTATGAGATCCTATGGTGACTCACCAAAATAATAGACCTGATGCTTCCTTGTTCTCTACTTCTCTTGCAGCTTTTTCTTCTTGGCTGGGCTGTTCCACTAAGACCAAATATTTTGTACAAATTATTTGACCATCCATGGTACAACCTCACTGGTGATCTAGTTTAAAAATTACTCTGAACTTTTAGGAAGAATAGGAGACTAAGATGTCTGAATTAAAGTCTCCATGAAGTTTGCTATAGTTTAAAATGGACACATAGCTGATACTGGCTTGAAATAATATATTTTCAGTGTTTTCACAAGGAAAAGTATATGAAGACAGCACACTCAGAGAAAAATAAATGCAACTACCTTAATATCTGAATTTCCCACAGGATGAAAATTTTGATGTTTCTATTGACCCTGCAAAAATGCAGGAATTTGAAGCTCATTTGGGAGAAAAAATATTTCAGGCAAATCATATTAAAAATATAAACTATCGTTTCTGAAGCTAAGTAATTTTAATCAGCTCCAGAGGGTTTTAGGTACCTTTGAAGGGGAAACAACTTTTATAAGCATCAAATCTATGCTCAGAGGCCAATAAGGAAATATCTAATTTTGAAAATCTTGCTTATGACACTTTATAATGTTCCAAGCTCATCTGTAATTAATGAGACACTTTGTTGCTCTGAAGATGATGAAGTTTGTTCCTGAGATATGCAGTACACAGAACTGCTCAAAGCTCCTATATCTGGGATAATTTGGCTGGGTGAGTCCTGTCCTAGGACCTCCCAAAAGTCTTCAGCTCCATCCCTACTCCTGAATGTATTCTAGGACGGACTGAATATTGCAAATCTGAAATGAGGATGGCAGCAGCACATCCTGATAAGCCTTACCTGTGCCTCTTGTAGTATTCCAAAAGACTTGTCAATGCATGCTGCACAGGGCTAAGTTTTGATTTTGTCCTGATTCAGAAAAATACAGGGAAAATTCACAGGATGGAGATAATGCTGAAGATTAGGCAGGCATTTGAAAAAAAATGCAGAAATGAGGCTTGTAATGTTGTCTCCAGTAAGAGTTATGTTTAACAGTGAGAAGAGCTTTGCAGTATGAAAGCAAATGTAGTTGCAGTGTAAGGTAAGTTTGACTATTAAGATGGCAGTGATGATTAACAAACCAAAATATTTTATGGCTCATAAACCCTTGATAGATAAGTTTCTTATGCAAATAACAACCTTTTAATCCCTTGCCCAAAGTGAACTCCCTCTGAGATGATAAAATACTTTAAATAATTGAGATTTTACTTGTATTTTCTGTGTATTGAGGGGATCTAGAGCTTTTCAGGAGGACAACAACCTGAATTTTAGGACCTGAACCTGAAAGTTCACTTTCCTGACATTTCCAACCAGTTTTGCAGGCCTGGGGTGTGGTTATGTTCTGCAGAACTTCTGCCTGTGCAGCTTCACCAAAACTGAATGCCACAGCTTTGTTGTTGTCTATAATACTGATTGTACTTGGCAAAATGTAGTACAGGCAGGTGAATCATAGACTTCCAGAGTGAGCTATAGCATATTAAGAAAATAGCATTTTTAAAACATATTCTTAAAAAAAGTTAATTTTAATTTCCTAATATTTTATTAATAAAGTTTTAAACATTTATCTGGTGCTGTCATGTCACTAATTTCATGTTTGTACAGGAGAGAAACATTATTCATACTTCTTCCCTGGAGTGAGAAACTTTCCACAAGGCACTTTGACAAAGTTTTTGGAGAGGCATGCAAAATTGGTTCACAAAAAGTCCCACCTTGCAGTAACACAGGGCTCTGTTTTCCTGTTCTGTAGGCAAAGCTGACTGCAAACACTTTTTGCGCCTTGTTCAAGAAGTTTCTTTGTGCAATACACCTGAGTTATTATTTAAAGATGGCATCCCTCAGCAGATAGGAGGCTGCCTAGCAGGCAGCAGGGCAGGCAGTAATTGTTCCTGCATCAACCACTGGGCAAAGTGGAACAGAGTCGTGAAGAAGAAGGACCTGGCCAAACTTCCTTCTTCCACTTTCTTCCAGATCATTCTTCTGCTTCTGATGCAAGGCAAGAAGGATGGGATGTCAGCCAATTGTGTTTTGTCCTTGGATACCCTCAATTTAACCAGCACACTAAAATATATGTCCCCACTCCTGTCCCATTCACAGATGGAAAGAAAATAAATATCTTGTGATCTTCTTCAAGTGGGAGTCTCTTTGTCCTCCTCCGAAGTAATTTTGTGCCATATTACAAATTCTTAATTAGTGTAATGAGCTGGAAACTTGTAGCATTGTAACTGTGATTGACCCCACAGTTGCTGCAAACTTCCATCTGGCACAGAAAAAAAAAAAAAGAAAAAAAGAACTTTCACAGAATAGAAGAGGATGTGCTCATTAGATTTGAACTAGAAACCTATTTTAGGAAGATGTGCCATTAGGAAACAATGGCAATACATCAGATAAATCATTCCAAACCAGGAGATATGAACAGGACAGCACAGGACAGTACAAAGCAGCTGCTTTCTTCAGGCAGCCCAGAAGCAGGACTGCAACAAATGGGCATTGGGACTGCAGCATGTTGACCTAACTTAGTTTGTTCCTGGCAGGGCAAGGGAAAGCCCAAAGTGACATTTGAGCATCTTGAGTGGTGTGAAAGTGGAAAATTTGTGAGGAGAGGTATTAGACCAGTACCAAGCACAGCACTGAAGTAAAGCCTTTGTTCTAAAAGTCCCTTCCCACCAGAACTATTCTATGACTCCACTGGAGTGCTGGAGCACCTCTCCTGTGAAAACAGGCTGAGAGAGTTAGGCTTGTTCAGTTAGTTCTTGTCTGGAGAAGAGAAGGCTCTGGGGTGACTTTGTTGTGGCATTTCAGTACCTAAGGGAATCTATAAGAAAGATACGGTCAAACTTTTTAGTAGGGCCTATTGCAATAGGACAAGGGGTAATGATTTTAAACTAAAAGAGGATATATTTACAGTAGATATGAGGAGGAAGCTGTTTTAACTGGCATGTGTTACTCAAAGAGGTATGGATCTAGAAGAAATGTGCCTACTCATTGTAGGGGGTTGTACTAGATGACTTTTAAAGGTCCCTTCCAGCTCAGATTTTCTGATGACTCTATGATTCTATGTTAAAGAGAAATATGCGCCAAATGAAGTTTAGAATTTCTGCCTTTGCAGCAAGAGCCATCAAACAGAAACCAGAAGACAGAGGTATGCAAGGGAGCTAAATCCCCCAGATTCATTGAAATTTAAATTTGGACTACACTGAAAATCCACAGCCATTACTAACCATGACTCCAAATGCCTCGTTGAAAACCTACAAGTAAAACCAAGGACAGAAGACAGCAAACGAGCCAACATGCAGAGGAGGCAAGGGTTGATCTTCATTTGTTTGCAGTCAAGTGCTTTTGCAAAAGCAGCACAGGAGTGCTGCAGGTCTGGCAGGAGGTGAAGCTGAGCAGAAGTGCACCTGGCACACATTCCCAAGGCAGGCACAGAACTGATGCCTTGAGCCATGCGAGGGCAGCACAGCTGTACAGCCACGAAGCAATAGCTCATGCCTCTTGTGTAGCCTTATAGCAAACCAGCACTCTGGAAGAGGAAAAAGGTGCCTCATCACTACGTGATCCACGGCAGATGTGTTTCAGTCCGTGTGGAGACAAAAATGTTGTTCATGAAGAAAGCTACATCTTTCAACACAGCAGGAGATAAAATAAGATGCTAACAGGCTCCTTACCACAGCTACCCAGCAACTAGAAAGGATTAGGTCTTCTCTGAAAATCTTCCTGATAGCAGCACCTGCTGAGATTTGGAAATTCCTGTCTTTTAGCTTATTAAAATGCAGACACAGCCTGTTTCTGTTTCCTGAACTACAGTTACAGTACAAAGGGGCCAATCTCACAGCCTTTAACCCTGTACACAATTCTTTTGCTGAAACTGAGTTTGAATAACAACTTCAGAACCAGTTCACAGGGGCTAAAATTCAACCTGAAATAATTGCCAGGTTGGGGAGCCCTTGAAGCTCTCTTGTCTGTTAGAGAGAAATGAAGGGGTCTCCACAACTGAGGAGAAGATTGTGCAGGTGGAACATAGGTACTAAAACTGTCCTTTGTGACTGACACCATAAAGCTTGCTATGTGAGTAATCTCAGAGTTTCACAAAAGGGGAATTTATGAGTGCTTGACCATTACTTCAGCCTGTCTGAAGGCAACCTTCCAGTTTATGTTACTCAGGACTTTGGACTGTGTGATCACAGCTGTCCTTCTGCTCTTAAAAATCCAGGAAATTGACTTCAACTAGAACATTAATATTGTTCCAGCTGTTTTTTGATTGTAAATGTAACTATATGGTTTGTGAAATAAGAATTGTTTCCATTGTGAGCATCACTCCATATTAACAGTGTGATCCAGGAGCCACATGAATGGTATTAACAGCATCTCCATCCTTGGGCATACTCAATAATTGACAGGAGAAGGTTCTGAGCAATATGCTGTAATCACAGAGATGATTTTCTATTAGAAATACCTCCAGAACTCCCTCCCAGTTAAAATTATTTAGAATTTTATGATTCCCTTGGCTAGACTATTAGGACTTTTGGTCTTGTATTATTTAAGAGGATACATGGTCTGTTAAAAATAATCTAATTATTTCCTGGAATCAGATTGTCTAGTGTTGGCTCATGTGCTTATTGGACCTGCATCACATTCTGGAAAGGGAGCACATCTGAAAAAACAAGTGGACTGTTGCAGAATGAGAAAGGAAAAGCTGAAATTCAATTCCAGGAGGAGACTAGAGTGCATAATATTGCTAAGCAAACAAAATAACTAGAGCATTCAAAATTTTGCTTAGTAATTCTTCTGTACACAGAATAGCAGGGCTTTTTACTTGTTATTCTGACAGAAGGGGTTTCAGTTTTGTTTGTATAAACTTCTGAGCCTGGATTAAGCCCTTTTCATTATGCAGGGTGAATACTGCCTCAACCCTTCCTCCAAAGGACAAACAGGCCTTAATTTTGTTGTTTGAAATCTTAAAGATCTTAATTCTTAGAATCTTCAGTCATCTCTCATGAGGCGAGGACTCGCTGCCATG